GAAGCAAGCTTTATTCTAAAACAGGCCAGGATTCCAGGGGAAAGAGAACGCTCAGCAGAACAGACACAAAAAGCGGGTTTAGCACAATGCCGGAAAGGGTGCCGTATCTGCAGATGCATCCGTGGGGCTGTGTGTGTTTGCCCAACGAAGTCAGCAGGGCAGCCATGGCTGTGCAATCAAAGCCCCCCCCTTTCCACGTGCCTCACGTGGCAGCATCTCGACCTTTTTGACACCCCCGGAGGACACCCTTGCGTATTCGGCCTCCGCCACTTTCCCTTGGCTTTGCTCTCCTCCTGCAATTACCGTGTCATTTTCCAAAGTGTGTCTTTTAAAAAATGTCCTAAAGGTAGCAGAGAGAATGCAGCGCTACCACTTCCTGCCCACAGGACTCTCGAAAAGCATCAGTTACCGAGAAGGAGGGAGGAAGAATATTTGTGACAATAAAGGAAGCACACCCTGGTTTCTAAAAGCAGACAAGCATGGCTGGTGAGTGGTGAACGAATGGCAGTTGTGAGTCTTGCTCTCAGAAAGAAAACACCAGGTGCTTGTTCATAAAGATGGAAGGAAAATGCAGGTAGGAACTGACAGCAAGAGGACTGTTCAAAGCAACTCTTTAGATCAAGGTGACTAAGTGAAGTCAAGCTGGTCTTCTCAATGGCTGCTGAAAATGCGCCCTCAACTGATGAGGGAGGGAGGGAGGAAACCTGAGATGAAGTCAAAGCCTTTTTAACAAATTAAGAATTAACAAATCATTCAGACAGATTCTTACATCTCGGTTGTTAAGATACTGTATTCAGTGTATGTTTTTTTCAGTTTAACATTAGAGAAGAACAGGTCTTGCTGAAGATGACCAACCTGGTTTCCACAAAGGGATGTCCTAGTTTATTGATTGTTAAGCCATGTGCCAATTGTGCCCATGAACATTCAAGGAGACGTTGGCAAGGCTTTCTGTAGAAAAGTAGCAATGACTGGGTGCTCCCAGAGAAAGAGGTAACACGTGGGGCCTTCCTAAAGAGGGGCAAGGGAAAGCAGCAAGATGCCCGCCCTTGGGGCAGACACCAAAGGTTTCAAGCTCGTAAAGAGACTCTGATGAGCTCCCAAAGAGTATCTCCCAAATGGGAGTTGGGCATCCACCAGTGGGGTCAAAAAAGTCCAGGTGGCGTCTGCAACTGCCCAAGCAAAGCCTTGCCCCTCGTTTACATGCGTTGTGCATGTGATGCACATTGGACAAGGATGAAGCTTTGATCTTGTGGTTGCAGCCATCATTGGTGGGTATAAGCAGTTGGTCCAGTTGAAGCAGTATCAACTGGGACACTTTGGGGCAAAAACCTACTTCCTTCATGGACACGCTGGGAATGCCTGAGCTGTCTGAGTGAGCAGAAAAGGAGTCAAGGGAGACACATAAATCCAGTGTTTGGCAGCTGTGGAAAGTGAGTCTCAATGAATAATTTTTTGGATGGCTGCATCTCTTCATGCAGAACATCAGCATGGAGCAGGAAAAGGTGCAGGAAAGGAGCAGGCCAGCTGAGAGAGGAGCCAGAGAAGTCCCCTTATGCAGAGCTTTTGAGTTAAAGAACAGACACATGAAGGAGAGAACCTGATCAAAGGGGTGTCAAGGGGGATCTTTCCATGACAGGCAGGAGGTACAAGAGAGGAGAAAGGAAGAGAATCTACCCGTAGTGCAGCGAAGTGTGGAATTGGGGGACAGAAGATGTAGTGACCACCATTTCCACACAGGACTGTAAAGGAGATCAGATAAATTCATGGTGGGTACAGCTCCTGGGGGATGGACCCAATTACACGGCGATGGGGCCATCATTGGAAGATCTGAAGGACGAGGTTAGAGATAGATCCTCCTGGAGAAAATCTATCTACGTGGTTGCTAGTAGTCAACACCAACTTGATGGCATATAATCAATCAATCAATCAATCAATCAATGGCTCCCAGTCACCAGAGTGGCTACCCCCCCCCCCAAGATCAGAGGAACAAGAGCAGGAGACAAGACCTCTGTCCTGCTTGGGGGGCTCCTGTGAAATGCAGGCTTTTGGTCTCTTCCCTTGTAACCCCCTAAAACCTCTGCTGTAAATAAATGTTTTTATATTCAGTTTGCCCCTTGATACTGTGGTCACCCCACAGAAAACAGTATTCCTAGCTGGGTTCATGCCGGGGGCTAAAGCCCTCCTCAGGTGGGTCACGTAGCCTGGGCTGTGCCCCCGGGGCTGGTTCCCTGCAGTGAAGGGCCGAGGGCAACGAGAGAACCCGCCTTGGGGGAGGCTGCTCCTTTGGGTGTCCTGGAAGTGGGCGATGTCTGATAAGAAGCAAAATCAGCTTGTTGGCCAAGTGGTTGGGGGGAGTGGCGCTTAAAAGTGTTGAGAAGATAAAACAGGTTTCTGCCAAGCAGCAAGAAATGACTTGAAGAACCCGAAGGCGGAATTGAGTCATTGCTAGAAACCAGCGTTGGAGGAACATGTGATGTCTGAAAACTTCCTTGGGCTTGGTATCCTTTTTCCCTGACAAGGGCACTGAGTTCTCCTAACTCCCACCAATTCCTTCGTGCACCCCCTGCCCCAAATTCCCCACCTGCACACGGAAGGCTGGACGGTTAATTCTGCAAACGTTCTGTGAACTCGAGAGAAGGGGAGAGGCCGGAAACCCGAAGGGAAGCCAGCGAGGGGGGGCGGCAGGGAAGTGGCTGCGATTCCCGTCGGGCTTCTGGTCCTTTCGAAGCAGAGGAGCTTCCTCTGATGGATGCTGGCAGAGGAGTGTTTTAGCTTCTTCCTCTCTCAGGGAGACGGACAGGACAAGCCTTGGCTATGCACTTTGGTTTGCTTGCCAGGCCCTTTGACAGATGGCAGCTCTCTGTGGCTGCCAGCCAAGCAAGCAACATCTTCATAAAATTCTCTCCTCAGCTCCTCCACCGGCTGGCTGCTTGGGAGGGACCCGTGCGAGGGGAGGCTGGCAAAGGAGACGCCCGGCCCTTCTTCCTGTCCACTGACCTGAGCAGCTGGGGAGGCAAAGGGCTGCTTGACACCCCCTCCTCACCAAAGAGGCATCAGAGGATCCCCAAAGAGCTGAGGCTTCTTTTAAAAAGGCATCAACAATTCACCGACGTTAAAATCTGAATGAGAATAGTAAATGCTAAAATGGAATACTGCAAGGATTGTTCAGAACGACTGCAGCGTTTTGGGGTTGCCAGAGAGCTGAGACATTCTCAAAATGGAAAAAGAATTTAAAGAAGGGCTTCTGAGCCTCCCATCAGCAGCCGGGCGGCCACCGTGGAGGGAAGCCTCTGCGCCGTGCCTGTGCCTGGCTTTCGGATCTGGCTGTTCCAGTCCCCATTGCAAACCACTTTATTTTCACGCTTCCTCTTAGTTTCTGTTGCTGCTTTTCACCTTGTTGTATCCCACCCGCAGCCCAGGAAAATTGGGGCGAGTTAGAAATATTGTCAATGAATGAATGAATGAATGAATGAATGAATGAATGAATGAATGAATGAATGAATGAACGTTCACATTAAAAATCTGTAAGTGAAGGAAGGACAGCCATGAGGGGCTGTATGAAATATGTGTATCTGTTTGAGTCTAGAAGGAAAAAAGGAAGAAGTAAATAGAGGCGTTTTGTTAATCAATAATTTAAGAACACCTCAGAATACTTTAAAAGTCCCACTTTTTATCGCCAGTGGAAGAACCTGGGAGAAAAATCCACCCCCCCC